CTGTAGTAGGCCAAGATCAAACCACTGCATTCCAGCCTGGGCAACAGGGTGAAACTCAAAAAAAAAAAAAAAAAAAAAATTAGACAAGGACATTAAAATAGCTATTATAAAAACACTCCATATATTAGAGAAAGTAGAAGAAATCATGAGCATGTTAAGGAGAGACATGGAAGATGTGCAAAATTTAATGTAAGATGAGGAAATATTATAGAGTGACTAGTGTGAGGGTGGATAGGTGCTTCATTTACTAGGATGGTGAGGGTCCTCTATAAAAAGGTGATCTTTGAGCTTACACCTCACCATGAGAAGAACATTTCAGGCAAAGAAAATGACTAGTGCAAAATCCCTGGTTGGGAATGGTCTTGACATATTGTAAGAATAGACAAGGCTGTGGTGGCTAGAGCACCAGGAGCAGGAAGAGTCATGTAAGGTGAGGATGAAGAGGTGGGTCGTATGGGCTCTGTAGGACCTTGTAGGTTATGACGAGGGGATGAATTTACTTCTAAAGATAACGGAAACTGCTGAGAGGCTCGAAGGAGGTGAGTGATAAGGACTGTGTAGTGTTTTAAAAATACTGCTTTGGTGGCTTTGTGGAAAAGGGACTATGGGAGGCCAAGAATGGAAGCAGAAAAGTGGTCTTAGAAAGTTCTTTCTCTGTTAAATGAGAGCATAATAAGGGCCACGGGAAGAATTAAGTGAGAACCTGTTTATGCCTTGTAGCAAGTGACAGTGACTTTATCTGTATATGAATATATTAAATTTTGAAAGGTTTGCCTGTGTAGTGCCTTCACATTTTTGGTTAACTTAGAAGTTACTTAGTAATACAGCCTCCCTCCCAAGTCAATAATCAGTAACTCGAAGGATCATTTATGCAATATCACAGTTCATTAGTTAATGAGATTTTTAAGCTTGTTGACAGATATGAGCTTTCTTATATTTTCCTTTGAAATTCTTGGACCCATCCAAGGAATTCCTTAGTGAATTATTGCACAGTAGTTTTGCTTAAGTGAGTTAATGTTCTACATTTATGTGCTTCAGCTCAGTTATATATTTACTTTTTTGTGTCTTTCCTTCAGGGCATTGATCGGCATTGAAAGATACTTGAAAATTGTTGGTTTTGGGGTTTTTTTTTTACATTTAAGCAACAATGTAACTTGTAAACACACACAAACTCAATCATATTGACTGTTCCTCTAGGAATTAAAGTGTATGATTGCTCATTTTCAGGGTTTTTCTCTAGTTTATTCAACAATTATTGAGTAAATTGGGCAGCTGGCGCTTTAGTTACAGAAATGAATAGAACATGCAGATTGTACCCGATGGGAAGGGTGGTTGGTGGGAATGGGAGACGGGTGGGGAGTGTCTATTTGATATCATGTTTGCAGTTGTGAGCTTCATATTTCCTCCAGATACCATGTTTTTTCAAATATCAGGGATGATTTTTATCTTTCACTAAACTTGATGCAGCTGATAAAAATATTGCTAGTTGAAGCAGAGCAGAATGACTTGTAACTACATCACCTGTGCTTGCTTACTGTCAATTCCTTTGTGACTTGTATAATAAGATAATAAGCTAAAAGTAGACCATATGTGAGATACCGTGATTCCTCAGGCTTGCTCAGCAAACTAATGACATCCTTGTTCATATTTACTTGAATTTAAAATGTGCTATATCAGATTCAAATACTTCTGTTGGTCAGATTATCAGATTTTCATGATACGTAATTTTCCTATTAGTTTTCTTCATGTTATCTTGGCCATAAGACTTGATATTCACTGTATGAGAGCATTTGTGTTGTCTTTATAAATTGCAAGGTGACTTTTAGGTTTTAACGTAGGTAATTAAGGTGATATATAAAAATAAATTATCACTTTTATGTCTAGAGCCCACAGTTTCCTAATCAAGTGGGAAAACGAGCAGGGGTTGAATCTTCTCCCTTTTTTTTTTTTTTTTTTTTAAACTTTCTGTGCTAGGGCAAAATCCCTCTGAGGCCCTTGTCTCTCCTCTGCTTGGCCTAAAGCTCTTCATTCTTTAGTACCCAGTAGAAATCTGCCTAATCCATGAAGCTCTGTCCTGAAATTTGTAGTAATTCCTCCTACTGAAATATCTTTGGGCCAGGCGCAGTGGCTCACGCCTGCAGTCTGAGCACTTTGGGAGGTCGAGACTGGTGGATCACCTGAGATGGGAAGTTCGAGACCAGCCTGACCAACATGGAGAAACCCTGTCTCTACCAGAAATACAAAATGAGCCGGGCATAGTGGCACATGCCTGTAATCCCTGCTACTCAGGAGGCTGAGGCAGGAGAATCACTTGAACCCAGGAGGCTTAGGTTGCAGTGATCCCAGATTGTGTCATTGCAGTTCATTCTGGGCAACAAGAGTGAAACTGCATCTCAAAAAAAAAAAAAAAAGAAAGAAAAAAGAAATGTCTTTGGCATTTTCAGTCTCTTACATACATTCAATAAATTTGCCTTTAATAAGATTTTCAGTTGAATTGAGGTCACGACCGTGGCTGGCATGCCACTGGAGCCATTAGTAGGGACTCAATAAATTGTCCTGTTCTGAGCCTGAACAAATTGGCTGTGAATTTGTGATTGTATAACTCACAGGGAAGGAGATGCCAGTGGAAGTAGCAATGTTTGTTATTTTAAAGGTTTGCTTTTACTTCACACTCATTCCAGCCTCTATGCCTCTAAACAGACAAATCATATTTCTTTCTAAATTGCATTTTTCTTTGAACTATGTATGCTGAAATCTTCCTATCCCTTGATTCAGTCACCTCATCCTCTTGCTGTACAAAGTATTTCACTGTATGGAAAAGTCATAAATCCCTTAACCAGTCCCCTAGGCTAATTTTAACAAGAATAATTTATAACTTCTAGTCTTATAAAATAGTAAGTATGAAAATACATAGAAAAATGACTTTCATTTGAAATGAAGATTTAATTTTTCCCCCCTAATATAAGGCATTATGTTGGGGAAAAAAAGAAAAAAAAAATTTTTGCTTTGTTTAGAATTCTCTATTCGTGGGAAGAAATCAGGATTTTACTTGAATAAAACAGTAAAACAATATAGACTACAAAACAACTATTCCAGCTGTAATAATGTTTTTTCTTAAGGATAACTAGTGTGACTACTAGGCAGTGATATTGTTTTAAGACTCTGCTTTCTTTTCTTGTTCAATGAGAAAAGTAAGACAATTTGCTTGGTTGGTGTTCCCATATAAATCAAGTCAACAGATTTAGTAATAGGATTTCCAGTTTAATTCTTAGCCACCTGAGTAAGAGTGCCTCTCTGAGGAATCAGGGATAAAAATGATATATATGTATTTTTTAAACAGAAGATCTTTGTTTTACAGATACAGCTGAGATTTATTAATCCATTGAAAAATTTAAGACGTCTTGGAATCAAAATGGTAACTGATATCTTTTTGGACTGGGAATCATATCAGTTTAGAACAGAAGAAATTGATGCTGTGTTTCATGGTGCAGTTTGGCCCCAGGTAAATCTCAATTTCTACATCTGCCTGTATGCCTTCTGCTTTTTCCTTTATTACTAACTCACCAACATAGCTACCACCCAGACATGAATGCTTACCTGGGTCTTTTCTTTTACATCGAGCCCTTCTTTCTGGAAGTTTTTAGAACACTTTTCTTTGCCTTCACTACCACCTAAAACTCAAGAGTTAGTTTCTGCTATACCATAGCATTTACACTTAAGGCTCAACTGATATGAATGTGTCTCTTAACAACTGTAACATAACTTTATGTTAAGTCTCGCTTACTGCAACCTCTGCCTCCTGAGTTCAAGAAAGAGATTCTCCTGCCTCAGCCTCCCAGGTAGCTGGAATTACAGGCATGCACCATGATGCCCAGCTAATTTTTGTATTTTTAGTAGAGATGGAGTTTCGCCTTGTTGGCCAGGCTGGTCTTGAACTCCTGACCTTAGGTGATCCATCTGCCTCGGCCTCCCAAAGTGCTGGGATTACAGGCGTGAGCCACTGCGCCTGGCCTGTAACATGATTTTTATAGCACCTCACATAGCATTGCCTCTGGCTTTTGACAAGCGTGAGGGAAAACACACAGGTGTTTCTATTACAGACTTCCTATTTTGATTTCTCTGGTTGTAATCCCTTGGTGATGATAACTGGTATAGGTGTAGACTGAAAGAGAGATTTGATTTTAGGAAATGTTTCTAGGTGTTGGAGGTCCCAGTCATTTTCAACACTCTGAAACTTAAAATACCATTTATTTTCTAGTGTCTAGCACTCCCATGCATCACCTTTGCCATTTTTCCTGTGTATATGTTCTTTTGGATCTCTTTATACTTTTTCTTATTCTGTCATTGGATGTTAATCTCTGTCCTTTGTCTTTTTCATCCTCTGCTGTGATTTCTGTGCTTGTTATTTGTGGTTTTTCTATAATTTGGTATATGTATTTGGTATTCTGTTTTTTACTTTGTCTCCTAGATCAGCAGGCTTGGATCTGAGAGTCAATATTCTCCTACTCCTCTGCTGAAACTGATCAGTATCTGGAGCAGAAACGCAAGGTATAACCTTTCTTTTTTCCTTCTTTAAAAGGGGCAATGTTTTAGACGAATCTGGTTAAAGCAGTCCAGGGAACTAATAATGTAATTTATGGTCTTTCCATACAGTGAACTACTTTTGATACAGTTAAAGAGAATGAGGCAGCTGAGTAAAAGCAAGGAAAGATATGAAAATACATAGTTTAAAGAAAAATATAGCCATGCATGGTGGCTCACGCCTGTAATCCCAGCACTTTGGGAGGCAGAAGCAGGATTGCTTGACCTCAGGTGTTCGAGACCAGTATGGACGACGTAGTGAGGTCTTGTCTTTACTGAAAATCAAAAAATTGGCTGGGCATGTGGCACATTGCTGTAGTTCCAGCTACTTGGAGGCTGAGGTGGGAGGATCACTTGAGCCCACAAAGTCGAGGCTACAATGAGCCATGATCATGCCACTGCATTCTAGCCTGGGAGAAAGCGAGACCCTGTCTCAAAAAAAAAAAAAAAAGATAAAAAGATAAATTGCTAGACAATATATATAGTGTGATGCAGGAAGGTATGTGTCTGTGTATATAAATATGAAATGAAATAGAAACTGTCCAGAAGGACATATGAGAACTATTAACAATGTGGCCATAGCACGTGGAGGTTTGGGTGGACCAAAGCAGGGAGAGGAGAGTTTTCATAATACATCTTTTGGACTGTTTGAATTTTTTATAATAATTAAAAAGTAAAAATAGGTAAAATAACATCTTACAAAGTAAAGAAAATTTTAGAGTATGTATTACAGCTAAAACTAATACTTTTTTGGTAATTTTTACAGTTTGATTAAAACTTGAAAATTTTAAGTATTAGAGTTGATAGAGATGTTCTTCTAATATATGTAATAATTATGTCAGCAGTTTGATTTGGCCTGGCATAGGGAGAAACAATGTGAAACACACCAGATAGTTATATCATCACATAAATATTATCATTTTCTGCATGCTTGCTTAAAAATAAATGCTGACTTGTAATTGGCATTCTATGTGTTTTTCCCAGTTCCCACTGAAAATCAGGAAAACCTCACAAGCTTTCTAGATTTTCTAGACGATTGTCTTCTTTGTGAAACTCCATCTAAATGTACATTCAGCTCTCATGGTCAGAAAAGGTTTTATTGATTCAGTGATGTTAAAATCATAGTCTTGGTTTTTACAAGATTGGAATCATACTGTATAACTGGCTTTTGATTTTGTTTTTTTCGTGTATCTTTATGTCATGAACATTTCTTCATGTTATTAGTCTTCAAAAACAAACCAAAAACCTTGACATTGTCTTCCTCAGGAAAACTTGTCTATTTTACTAATAGTAAGTTGTCTACATTTATTCCCCAATTTGACACAGCAATTTTATATCTTTATCATTGGACATTTGTAAGCGACTCTTCATAGGCATACTTGAGAAATGTTGTATGTAGTTTTGTCATTTCCATGCAAATAAGCCATGAAGGACTTTCATCCAGGAAGACTTTACAATAGAGATTCATTTTCATATTCGTTGGGGCCTTATTCAAGGTATTGAGCCACATTGTTGGATCCACTTCATTCTTTTCTGCAATTTCTCATGTTTTGGTTGGGTAAATAGAAGCCACATAGCAATGGAGGAGAACCTCTTTTTCCTTTTATACTTAAAACTTACCTGAAAGAAATCTCTAAAATTGTTGACTTCCCTTGGAATCCACATAGCAATAGATATGCATATGACGTTGTGTGTGGAAGAATTAACGAATGAATATTTCAGAACCCCTTCAATGGGAATGTTACTTTTTAATAAAAAAAAAAGATTTTTAAGTGTAGTTCCTGTTTACATAGTGTCAATGAGAAATTAAAACAGATTTTTCATCTATAGAGAAGTCTAGCATTTTACTAGCTTATAAGTAAGTTTAAATTTTCTCAGAAATTAGGTGAACTCAGGGCAGCAAAAACTTACTAACTAGGGTGAGCATATACTTTTTTGTCCACATTGAAAAACTCCTGAGGATGAAAAGAGATGTAATAAATAAGTCAAAACAGCCAGTGTAAACCGGGACTGTCCCAGACCCCTTTCTTAGCTGCTCTGGTTCTAGTCACTGCAGCCCCAGCATAGCACACAGTCTCTTCTTCCTGCATGCCCCTTCCAGCTCTGTAAGGCCCTGTCATCACATACTGCCTTTGTTGTATTCATCTGTCTTCATAACTTATTATCCACAGCTCCTTCAGGGCAAAGAGGGTTACACATCTTCATCTATGTGTAGTTGATGATCATTGCATGTTGTTTGAGTGATTGGAATTGCTGATTGAGCCATGCACATTAGCATGTAGCATGCTCATTGTACTGTGGCAGCAAGTTACGTTGGTCAAGGGAAAACGGTTTGGTCGCTGGGAAGTTGCATTGTATCTGAATGGGCTCTTGCTAGGACTTTACCTGCAGTAGTAAGCAGTTCTCTTCCCTTTTCTGCTAGAAAAAGTTTAAGACAACAAAACAACATAGTGATTAAGAGCACAGTCTCTGAAGTCACACTAACCTAGCTTCAAATCCTAGCACCACTGTGCGTTCTTTTGGTCAAGTTGGCCTCTGAGCCTCAGTTTCATCACCTGTAAAATGGGTATAATACCCATTTATTGGTGAAGACCCACTTCACCAATGAAGTGAAAACCCACTTCATTGATAATAGAGGTGATAATTTATAATATAAAGTGCCTTGTGTAGAGCCTGCCCATACTATGCACAATATTTGTTGGACAGAAAGATGTACGAATATAACCTCTTAGAACTTTTCTGTCAGTTTGTCAATGCTAAGTATGTTAAAGAGCTCAAGCTCTTTCCCCCCGCTCCCCAGTGATGATGAATTGAAAAAGGCAAACTATCTGAACTGTTTCTGTTTGACCTTCCTAGTAATTGTTAGGATTGCATTTCTGACTGAATCAGCTGCTGGTTTACCCTTGGCTGGAAAGCCTTTGTCCCTCTGCCCTTGTTGGTGCATTTTCATTAGGAAGGATATTTATAACTTTCATGTGAGTCTTTCATTATTGGGGATGGATTCATCCCCGTCTCCCAACATTGAATGTTCTATATCCTGATCAATAAACGTTTGTTTGGTCTGTACTCCTAACTCCTGTGTTCTAGTACATAGGGTTTTATGTGAGTGTTTAAACATTCACGTTCTAGAAAGCTTATAATTGAAAAGTAGTCTGTTTTCAGTAAGTCTCTTTTAGAAAGAGCTTAGACATTGGAGTTTGATTGTGATTCAAATCTCAGCTCTATTATTAGCTCAGTGGCTTCGGACAAATCTGTTTTCTCATCCATAATGTGGGAATAATGATACTACCACATAGAAAGGTTATGAGAAATGAGAAATATATATAAAGTGCCTAAGTAATATGTTTGTAATGTAATACTTAGAATTTCTATTATCCAGCGAATTTTAGATTTAATGTAATTCCCCTTTGAATAATCTTATTAATGTGGAAACACACACACATACACATATATATTTGTTAAACTCATGGTGAAAATTCATATGGACATGTTTTTAGAAGTGAACACGTTGAGAATAAGATGATTACTACAATGTTTTTTCTTCCAGGTATTTCCCTTTGCTGGCTAAACAGAAGCCTGGGCACCCAGAATGTGATATCCTGACCAATGTTTTTGCACTTCTCTCAGCAAAGAATCTTTCTGATGCCACAGCTACTATTGTAATGGACATAGTTGATGACCTTCTTAACCTTCCAGATTTCGAGCCCACAGAATCAGTTTTGAACTTGCTGGTAACTGGATGTGTATACCCTGGCATAGCGGAAAACATAGATGGTGTGTATGATGACAAAGCAGATAATTCTTAGACTTCTGATGTAGCAATTGTTTCCTCAGAAGAGAAAAAAGATCAGTATAATCTGACTCACTTGAGAGCATGTGCTCATAAGTTTCTTTTCTCTGGGAACTAATACTAATTTATATAAACTGAATTTTCTTTGCAGTTATAAGAATAGATTATTTACTCTTCAAGAAGTCTCAACTCTCCTCCAGGAAATTATGAAAATGATTTCTACTGTCATGTCTCTACATTCTTCTTACCATATTATCCCAAATAATTCCCTTACTATTACCAAAAAATGGTTTAAATAAAGCCTCAAAGGTCTCTTAAATAAGTTCTTGATTTAACTAGTAATATAGCTATTTTGAGTAAGAAGAAAGTTGTTTATTTAGAATCAAAATTTAACTAAATGTTCATAGTGGTTGAGTGCTTTTCTTATCATCATGAAGATTTTGTACAGTTATGCCTTAAGAGAGTTTATTAAAATCAAAACATTAATCATTATCTATTTCAGAGTCTATCACAATAGGAGGAAGATTAATTCTACCTCATGTACCTGCAATTCTTCAGTATCTCAGCAAAACCACAATAAGTGCAGAAAAGGTGAAAAAGAAAAAGAATAGAGCACAAGTCAGTAAAGAGCTTGGCATTCTTTCAAAGTAAGTGATATGTTGATACTTAAAAGATAACATTACCATCCTTGGTTTTAACTTTTTAAAAAATTATTATCTTGGCCAGGCATGGTGGCTCACGCCTGTAATCCCAGCACTTTGGGAGGCTGAGGTGGGTGGATCACCTGAGGTCAGGAGTTCAAGACCAACCTGACCAACATGGCAAAACCCTGTCTCTGCTGAAAATACAAAAGTTAGCTGGGCCTGGTGGTGGACACCTGTAATCCCAGCTACTCGGGAGACTGAGGCAGGAGAGTCACCTGAACCCAGGAGGCGGAGGTTGCAGTGAGCCGAGATCGTGCCACTGCACCCCAGCCTGGGTGACAGAGTAAGACTTTGTCAGAAAATGAAATAAAATAAAATTTTTAAAAATTACCTTGTTTTTCAGGTGTTTGAACCTGGCAATACAGAGCTAAAAAGTTTTTTAGTACTTTTTAATCCCCTTTACTTTTAAGTTAATGCAGAATTCCCTTTCTCTGCTGGAATACTTACTAGAAACCGTTCATAGCATCTGCCTTTGTTTAATAAAATTAAAGGGAACAGATTTTTCAAAATCCTAAAGTAGACTAATAGATTTGTTTGTTTAGCCTTTGTGTATTTTGAGTTTTGTGGAATTACGGTTTTTTACTCTTTAGTGTAATAATAAAAATAATTAACTTGAAAGAGCAGATTGTTCTGTTTTTTGTCAGGAAGATCTCACAAGGGTTTTTAAAGAGTCTGTTTGGCAGTAGACCTAGGAGTCTGTTGTGATTTTGGTAAAGGGAAAGGTTGATAAACCTGAATGCAAGAAACAATTCTATCTTAATTTTAAATTGACCATTATAAGGCTTAGTTGTTGAAAATGTATTTTTTCTGTTATTTAAAACAGTATCAACCAAAAGTGATCTGTTCGAATCTTCTAGAAACTTCTTTGCAATGCTTTGTAAAATACTGTTGTATTTCTAAGTTATGCAGAATGGGAAATCATACTAAATACACTCATTAAATTTCATCCTAGGCTATGTGGTAGTAGAAAGATGATGAAAGGAGATTAGGTACCAGAAAGACCAGAGTTTGAAAGACCTGCTGTACTTCTTTCTAGCTGTGAGACGTCAGTTTCTCTGAGTTTCAGTTTTTCTCTGGGCATAATGAGGCTGACGATTCCTATATTGCAGGGCTATCGTGGGTGTTAAATTGAAATACTGTACATAAACCCTTAAGTCTTGGCACTTAAAAATGTTGTTTCTTTGCAAAGTAAAGCAATTACTAATTGCCAGATTACAGGACTGGAGTTCACTCTAACCCACCTATTCACCTGTTCACTGTAACCCACACAATCAGATATTGCAAAATAAATAGAATAGTAGCCATGAGCTTGATGTTGGAGAGGAGTAAGAGTGAGCACAGCTAAGTAACTCAGATAAACTTTTTATACATGCACACATACTTAAAAGCTAGCTGTGTATTGGAATGCTAAAACTGTGTCTTTAGTCACTGATGTTTTTCTACAAAAAGTTTAACTTCTTAGAGAAATATTCCTGTATATGGTCCTTACATACTTGTTTTTTCCTTCTTTAGGATCAGCAAGTTTATGAAAGACAGAGAACAAAGTTCTCTACTCATTACGCTTCTCCTTCCATTCCTCCACCGTGGCAATATTGCTGAGGTACAAACTCATAGGACACTTACTCTGTCTTTAGAGTAGCGCTTTATCTCTAGGTTTACTTGCGAGCAGCACTTTTACTGGCTAGATTTTGTGATGCATTTGTCCCAAGGAACTTAAAAGACTTTTTATAGAAATACAAAAATTAGTCCAGGTGGGGTGGCTCACGCCTGTAATCCCAGCACTTTGGGAGGCTCAGGTGGGCGGATCACCTGAGGTCGGGAGTTCGAGACCAGCCTGACCAACATGGAGAAACCCCATCTCTACTAAAAATTCAAAATTAGCCAGTGGCACATGTGGTGGCACATGCCCATAATCCCAGCTACTCGAGAGACTGAGGCAGGAGAATTGCTTGAACCCGGGAGGCGGAGGTTGCTGTGAGCCCAGACTGCGCCATTGCACTCCAGCCTGGGCAACAAGAGTGAAAATCCATCTCAAAAAAAAAAATTAATTAATTAAATAAATAAAATTAAAAAATGAGAGGGAAAAGATTAGGACAGACGCTAGGAATGGGGGCAGGCAGGCAAGAAAGTGGAGATGTCATCATCTACAACAATAACAAAGTACTAGCCCCTTTGTTTCCCTTGTTTAGCTTCTGATTCATTTCAGGCGTTTTTCTTTCTCTAACAAGCCTGGAACCCAAGAAGTGCATTGTGTAAAATTTTTTTTTTTGAGATGGAGTTTCACTCTTGTTGTCCCAGGCTGGAGTGCCATGGCACAATCTTGGCTCACTGCAACCTCCGCCTCCTGGATTTAAGCAATTCTTCTGCCTCAGCCTCGAGTAGCTGGGACTACAGGCGCCCACCACCACCCCCAGCTAATTTTTTTGTATGTTTTGTAGAGACGGGGTTTCACTATGTTGGCCAGGCTGGCCTCGAACTCCTGACCTCAGGTGATCTGCCTGCCTCGGCCACCCAAAGTGCTGGGATTACAGGCATGAGCCACCGTGCCTGCCGCATTGTATAATCTTAATTGTAGATCACAGTGGCAAAACGGAATAAAAATCAGACTTTTAATATTTAGACACAGCTAAGTGTTTCTGGTATGATTTGCAAACCACAGTTCAGTCTTAATTAAGAGTCCTCCAGTGGCTCATGCTCATTTGTCAGACTTCAGTAGTGATACTAAACATTTCTCACCACACAGTTGTTCAATTTAGAAGACCACAGATCTGTGGACAACCAGAAGTGTATACAATTGGCCCTCTGTATTCACATTTCCACATCTGTGGATTCATCCAACCTTGGATGAAAATATTTGGAGAAATAACAATGTAATTATAAAAATGATGCAAATTTTAACCAGCTGGGCGTGGTGGCTCATGGCTGTAATCCCCGCACTTTGGGAGGCTAAGGCAGGCAGATCACGAGGTCAGGAGTTCATGACCAGCCTGGCCCATATAGTGAAACCCCGTTTCTACTAAAAATACAAAAATTAGCCAGGCATGGTGGCATGTGCCTGTACTCCCAGCTACTCAGGAGGCTTAAGCAGGAGAATCACCTGAACCCAGGAGGTGGAGGTTGTGGTGAGCCGAGATCATGTCACTGTACTCCAGAATGGACTTTTGAGACTCCACCTCAAAATGAATAAATAAATAAAATAAAAATAAAAATGATGCAAAGTTTAAAAATGGAGTATAACAACCATTTACGTAGCATTTACATTGTATTGGGTATTATAAGTAATCTAGAGGTGACTTAAAACATACAGAAGGGTGTGTGGGTGATATGTAAATGCCATGCCACTTTATATAAGGGACTTAAACATCCTTGGAGTTTGGTATTTTTTGGGGTTCTGGAACCAGTCCCCCTTGGATACTGAGGGACTACTGTACTTCAGCAAGCTCATTTTCTTGTATCTTTTTTGATTAGACAATAGAAGAAATTATGTTTCAAAACTACATATATTGCTTATTAGAATTAAAGGAAGAAACTGATTCACACATTCTTAAGGGTTTTACGTTAAATTAAAATGCTAAAAACTTTTAAAAGATGATAAAATAATTTTTCCAATTACTACTTTCATACCTTATTTGTAATTGTTTTCTATGTTGTGATATATTAAAGTATAATTTGACCAGTTTATAACTTACTGAAATATGACTTCTCTTAATATTTCTCCCCAAGGATACAGAGGTTGATATTCTGGTGACAGTACAAAACTTGTTAAAGCATTGTGTGGACCCTACAAGCTTCCTCAAGCCTATAGCAAAACTTTTCTCAGTTATTAAGAACAAACTGTCAAGAAAATTGCTTTGTACAGTTTTCGAGGTCTGTACTATTCATTTTTACTCCAAATCACCCTTTTTAAAAAAATGTAATTATGACTTATAAACCATATTAGGGGCTCTCTTCATGCCAGGGTGATGTTTTTATACGAATTTGAGTCGAGACAGGGAACTGAGGGGAGGAGGGCAGAAAAGTTAAGGTAATACACTGTTTTCTTTCCTTTCAGACTCTTTCTGATTTTGAGAGTGGGTTAAAATATATTACTGATGTTGTCAAGGTAAGAAAAAAGGGTTCTCTTTGGCTTCAAAAGTATTATCATTTTTGTTTACTTAAGATTTATATACCTTCATTTATATAATTTCAATGACATTTCTTATAGCTTAACGCCTTCGATCAAAGACATCTTGATGATATCAACTTTGACCTTCGCTTTGAGACTTTCCAGACGATCACCTCTTATATTAAAGAAATGCAAATTGTGGATGTTAACTACCTAATTCCAGTTATGCATAATTGTTTCTATAATCTAGAGGTAGGTTATTATAGCAAAATTCATAAATTATTTTTTATTGTTCTGGTAATACAGCTGCCTAATACAGTGACCTAATCTTTAAATTTGTTTTTTGAGGGGGGACAAAGGGTTTTAGGATTAAATTTCGTCATGTGAAGAATCTTTTGTCTGGCAAAACACTTATTCTTACGATTGGAAAGGCAAATATTGTGAATAAAATAACACATATGAAAGCATTTTGAAAAAAATCAAGAAGTTACGTATTAGAATAGGGAAATCCATAGAGATGAAGTACATTAGGTCACTAAAGGCTGGATAAAGGGAGGAATGGGGCGTGATTTCTAATGGGTATAGGGTTTCTTTTGGGAGTGATGAAAATGTTCTGGAATTAGTGGTGATGATCACACAACCTTCTGAATACACTAAAACCCATTGAATTGTACATTTTTTTTTTTTTTTTTGAGACAGGATCTTGTTCTCTCAGCCAGGCTGGAGTACAGTGACGTGATCTTGGTTCACTGCAGCCTCCGCCTCCAGGTTCAACCAATTCTCCCACCTCAGCCTCCTGAGTAGTAGCTGGGATTACATGGGCGTGCCACCACACCCACCTAATTTTTGCATTTTAGTAGAGACAAAGTTTCATCATGTTGGCCAGGCTGGTCTCGAACTTCTGACCTCAGGTGATCTGCCCATCTTGGCCTTCCAAAGTACTAGGATTATAGGTGTGCGCCACAACAACCAGCCAAATTGTAAATTTTTTAAAAGGGTGAATTTTATGGTGTATCAGTTACATCAATTTTTAAACACGTAACTATACTAATTGAAAATTATCTCTTTTTTATTGAAGTTATAAGAGAAATAAAAAGTGTTTGGATTATATTAAGTGCTATGTTGCTGAACTGAATTAAAATCCAAAAATGCAGAAAATGAAACCTTTGATAATTGTTAACTGTGTAGTGGCATCAGTGATCTCTTTGTGGCATTTTATAGTTATTCATCTAATATTAAGGATTATGTAATATATGAAAAAATAATCTCCCCATTTTATGCTCATTCTTCATAATCATGTCAAAACTCAGCACAAAAAATTCAAAGTCACTGCCTGGCTGGCTGAGTCAAGGATACCTTCCCTACACTCACTTTGACATTCTTCAAACCACAAACTCTAGAGCAGCCAATTCTGTCATTTTCAGTAATGACCTGATACTGAATATTGAAAACTGGCTT